TCATCCTCGCCTATTCCCACCACTTACTCACCTACTTACCCTACGAGACGGAAACTCTGACCGAGACGACGTGCGGACCAAACGAGATAGGAATTTCATGCGCCGCGAACGCGAGTTATATTGCAACACGTATGCATTATACTCTCTGGTCTAACTAAAGGTATTTTTGCCCAGCGAGAACAGATTTAAGAAACGCACCACACGATACGGAAGCGCATTTTGGTGCCTACTGCTTTTTCTTTTTCTTTTCGAGATTATTAATTATGAATCTTTCAAGAATTATTTTCAAGGAAACTCCTGGTGTCCTTCGTCGTAGTTATATTGTATTATAATGTGTCTCTCGGAAGAGAAATCATGTAAATTCTTTTTTGCTCCTCGAAAGAAAATAGTTATTTTACATGCCATCATGTTCGGTAATTTAGATTAACAGAACATATATGTAGCAAATTTTGTCTTTTTTTTTATTCGTCAAGCAGTGTAAATCTTGATAATTTACTATAAGCTCAGGAGAATTTTTTAAATTGATAAAATTATTTTTAAATTGAGTTATATATGCATTCATTGATGTATAATAACGAGTAATATATAATAATTTTAATTAACCTGATATGGTTTAATTTAGACGGAGAAAATTTTACAGTACAAATTACGTGGAAAAATTACGTTCCCTTTTACAAAATTGATTGTAAAACTGGAATATAACGATATTAAGATATTTATTACTATAAAAATGGTAAATTATGGATTTGTTCTATTGTTTGTTAACGATTATGCATTTGTTTGTGTATCAGAATATGTGAATTACAATATTCCTTTGTAAAATATAAAACATATATAATACATTAGTGAATAAAAATATGAAATAACATATATGATTTCTCTTATATGTTAGTCTGTCTCACGATTACAAAAATTATATTGTAATTTTTACTATAATATTTTCTCCGTGTAATTCTTTGTAAATTTAGGATGTGTGCAAAAATAAGCGCGGTGGTATTAAATGCAGAGATCAAGCGCGTTATAATTGCAAAGTAGGATTTTAATTAATTAAATTACGGAAAGTTATTATATATCGTCATACAAATTTATTTTCCCTGCGGGCCGTATCCATAAAGAACGCATTTCCAGGAAAGAGTAAATTATTTCGAATTTTAACTGTATATATTTTATTTACATGAAGTATTCTACATATATTGTAAGCTTAATTTAATCAGCGATCGGAGAAATTTCATATATTTCGTATAATAACAAGTACATGCGTGATTAATCATTTAGTGTTTATATTGAATTTTAATGTTTCCCTTTTTTAATATAAAAAAATACTAATTTACATATTTTATAAATATATTAATTCTTCATCCCTCTCTCTCTGATGACATATTTTTATTCTTAACTGACCATTACTAGCCTATAGAAAAAATAAGAAGAAGACTTTATATACTGACACAAAATTGATTAATTATACACAGCTAATACGTATTTTATCTTGTTCTTTCTTTTGATTAATGTATCGAATTAATCATCGTACGCTAACTCTTCAATGACAGCGTCAATATGAAAAAAAAAAGAAAAAGGTTTGCCGCGCATTCAAGGTTTGAAATTAAATTGAACCGATCAATTTTTTTCGCTGCGTAATCTTTATTATGACATATGTAAGGCAGAAAAAAGTCTGATTTATTAAATCGCGCGACAATTAAAATCTTCTACATCATCAAACGCATACGATAATCGTGGAGATCGCGATTTCTGCCGGCGATTCGTTTCTTTCGATTTAGATTTCCTTATCAATGACGTAAGAGGATCGCAGTGCGATTGATCGAGTTAGGACTAAAAGGGGTAGATCGGAATACGCGGCGCGTTTGTTCGCTCAAACATACGTACGTACATACATATATTCGGGGCGATATCTCGGACGAGGCAAAATATTTACGAGAAAATTTCGCCGTGGGTGGCGCGGCTTCATGAATAATTTCGGTCCGCAGGAGACTCGTCAGCCCCGGGCTATGTGCTCGGGGCGCACGGTTCTAATTACGGCAACTGCAGAGCGCGCGTCTGCGCCCCCGGCTATCCCTCCAGCTGGTTTCCAACCTCCCTTTTCCTATCCCAGCACAATTTCCACAGAGCCCACATCCGTTCTGAAATGCTAGCAATCCTCCTCCCCCTCCGGCCTCTCGTCTATCTCTCTTTCTCTCTCTTTCTCTTCCTCTCCCGCTCGTTTTCTCTCGCGTTCCGCATGCTCTCTCCCTTTTGTAGCTCGAGGTGTACATCGACTATTACGTTGCAACCAATTTTTGAAAAGTTTCTACAATCTATATATATATATATATGTATGTATTTTTTTTATAGTTCTATGTGCGCGTATTTCTCCTGCGGAGAGATAAATGGAGTTTGTATCACGTTCGACTGTGTGTGTGTGTGTGTGTGTGTGCAATTAACGCAATTAATGCGATGTCATCATTTATTAATGCCATGTATGAGTTTCAATTAAGAGCTCTTTTTTAACTATATTACAAAGATTTTACGTAATTAAATTACGCAATTGTGTTTTATAGTTTTATTATTTGTATTTCTCTAATTATTATGTTTATTCGATGCGCGAAATTGTTTTAACCGAATAGTAAAATTCCATCATAAACTGAAGTGAAGCTGTTATTTGCAACCGCTTATTAATTTGCAATGATTGCGCTGAGATATCTAGAGGGAAATGAAAGCTTGATTCAAGTAAAAGCCCATGTGATATTAATCATATTATGATTGAAAATTGCATCACATATCAACTAGCTAATTAGAAATTCATTTAATCATTATTTTAATCCGTGCGCGAGAGATTAAAATTATATAATTATATATTATATGTATATATACTAAAGGAAGGCACATCTCCTTTCATTTTATTTATGCCCTATTTATATTTTAATTCTTCGACTTGTCCGATTTTTAGCCAATTATTGTAAGTATTCAGCTACCTTAACGAACTAATACATTTATTTCTCATGGGTTCTATAGCTCATTGTGTCGAGAGAAGAAGAGCATCGATCCATCAGTCACGAATCTTGATGCAATACTAGTCTTGCAGATTGATCTCACACAAAGATATTTAAGAGTATCATAAATTCTAAGAGAAAGAATATAACTTATTAAATATAATTTAGAAATATCATTTTTTTATGGAAGATATTCAATTAATCTTCTTCTATAGTCCTATATCTCCTCAAACTATTTTATATCACTCAATCGCGTTAATTTTGAGGATAGTGAGGCTATTATTTCGATTTTTGATTAGACTATACAATTCGTATTAATATATAATGTCCAATTTTATGCCAAAATTTTATATATTCTCCTCTACAGCCTCTCTTCTTTGCATCACGCGTGATTATTCGCGACGCGAAATGCATAATTGATCGTAACTATTGTTCGATGACGAGAGAATGCAACGCATAATTGAGCAATTGCATTGTCCTGTCGTGTTTCTACATATGCATTTCTAAAAGCACCGACACCCTCTCGCGCGCGCGGACACGTCTGGCATAGATTAAACTTTCTTTACCCGCGGTGTCGTGAGATCAGATTGACTTTCTATCAACTCAACTTTAACTCAATCGTATAAAAATGCCCCACGAACGTGCGCGTAGGTGATTATCCCGATGTCGTAGCATTTTCTCGCAAAGGAAAATTACTGCAACAGGCATTTAAAAGACGTTACAAAAATGTCTAAAAGATTAAGCCCTTCAGTCCTAGTTCTAAAAGAGATGAGAAACTTTTGGCGGGAGACTAGCCAAGAAAATACACAACTTGCAATATATATGTATTTTTGAAAAAAGATAAGAGAAACAATATAATTAATTAAATTATAATTTACATTATAAATAAATTATATAATAAATTATATAAATTATAGGATAAAATATAATGGAAAAATAATATTTCTGTGCAAAAATATTGTATAAAACTGCTTAAAGTTTGAATTTCATCACTTTCTGTAGATAAATTCGTGAAGAACTTGAAATCATTACAAAATCATTGATCATTAAATTAAGACTAAAATTAATCGGCCAGTTAATCAAATATGTATGTGTGTTTTTTAGATGCTTGTTTTATTTTGATAGATGATTAATTCTTAATCACCAGAAATGTCTGTTCTTATTATTAAAATTATTTTCTACTTTCGTTAGATTACACGCGAACTTCCTGTGTGTACTAGAATGATACTTATGTTAGCCGCACCTCGCGAGTTTCAAGCGACATAATTAACTACGTGAAAGTATACCATTTCCATACGTGAATATCAGTTTGTCACGCGATGTTTCAGATATCCTATATAACGAGAAAGATAACTTTTTCTAGACATTTTCCCCTGCCGGTAGTACGATGATGTATTTTCTTTATCCGGAAATCTTCGATCAATAAACTACAGTGAAATTTGTAAAATAAAAAGTAAAAATGTGTTGAAGTGCATGAAATTAGAATAGGCTCGTAATATAAGTGAACGTGCGAGACTACGTAACAAAAATGATTGAATAATTGAGATATAAAGCTCTCCACGTATAAATTTGCGCGACGACAATTATATTCTCGGAGCACACTTGTGTGACGATGTAAAGAGGAAAACAGACTTACGAGACACGTCCTTGTCGATCTCGCGATAATAATTCTCGACGTTTAATTATCACGTCCAAGCTTTATGTCATAAAGCAATCATAACTCTGGTCGATTGCAATCATTGCGGCTCGAGTCGCGCGCGTATATTATTTTAATCCCGCGGTCAACTTGCTCCTCGAGATTTCCGCATACGCAACGTTGAGGATTTACATCTCGACGATTCATTAATATTCACTTAAGCACTTTTATAATTTAGCAATTTACCGATTTATCTCAAATTAGATCTCGCGAAATTCCAATTTGTTTATAAACATTCGCGCGCGCGTTGCGTATTTAATGCTGTATTATTTACATACATATAATGGAATAATAATAAATCGTTAAACTTTCACACTCACCGTTTTTGGCACGTGGGCTCCAGGTTGACGGTTGCTCTCGTGTCCACGGCTGCGGATTGGGGAACCCTGGAGTCCCGTCGCGATCGCGAAAACTTGTCACTGTCTACCAAACACCTTCTCGCGAGCAGCTCCAGCTCTCCTGTCACGCACTAGACCACGTGGTTGCGTTCACGTGTCGAGGGACAAAAGTGGCGCGAGCCGCGCGCGCGCCACCGCGGCTTTCGTTGGACTGCGTGCGTTGCGGTCCTCGCGCTGATCCCGCTACCACCACCACTACCACCACCGCCACCACTACCTCTACCGCTACTACTACCACTGCCACTACACCGTCGTTACTACTACACCATCACCACCACTACCACTACTATATCATCGCCACTACTACACCGTCACCATCACTACCGTCATCTCCGCCACCACCGCTAGCTATTCACTATCCTTGTCGCTCTCGTCCTTCCTGCCAATCTGCATCGGCTCGTCTTCGTCCCGCGAGCTCGAGGCGTTTCGGCAAGCGCCCCGAGCTTGCGACGATTCTCTCCACTCATGCACGCCAGTTTCAACCCCCTCTCGTGCACTTTAACCATTTGTAAGAGGATATAGCGATGTCCGATACGTTTATCATTTTTATACGTTTTCTATGTGCGTGTAAAAAAGCTTAGAGTCGCACAGTACTGACTTTTAAACTTATTTTAAATGCTTAATCTATGATGCTATAATTATATTTTATACTTTATGAATATATTCTATATGTGTATACTGTTATAATTTTTTTTAGATTTGACACGCTATTTTTGACACAATATAAGAAAAAAAAAATTTGATATTAATATATTATACATATAACAAAATTATTATATTATAAATATATTATATATTTTATTATTATATTATAAATATATTATACTATAATATGTGTGTGTATGTCTTTTTTTAAATATACATATTAATGTATATTTAAATAGGGAGAGAGGAGAGATTACAAAATAGTTGGGTGAATATTACATTAAAAAATGATGATTTATTTAAGTGTAATCCTTCAGTTGATATAAAGCCATTAATTATTCACATTTGCGGTATTACATAAGTACCGAGAAGAATAAATAGACATATACTCGATAAGTCTCTTGATCATATGATATGACCTTTGCAATCGAGATGCAATCGAGACTCACAACATCGGTCATTCGAATAGTATTACGCGAACTTTAATAACCAGAATTACATCTTTGCCATAAAAACGATATACATATAGTTCGATTTATTAAATACGATAACGCAAATGTAAAGGTGTCATGGTAGAAATGATGCGATTTAGATTTTTTTCTTATAAAAAGCTTTATGGCATCCGTGAATTTAATATCGAAAATTACGTAGACTATCGTGAGCGTTATCTACGAAAATAATTTTCAAAACCGAGAAAGGGAGACCTGCGTGCCGACATTGTCGCCGAATAAATGAAACATTCTCAACATCAACCGTAGATTTCGTCTTCGTAAAATTACAATTGGTACCTCGTCCGTACGATTGGCCATCGGCTATCGAGAAGGGGGGGAGAACCAAGCCAGGCTCGGGCCTCACTCTCTGTCTCGTATTCGAGGTGCCCCGGGGCCAAAACGGCCACGGCCGACAACATCGTTCCAGAATGCCCCGGGCACTTCCAAACCCACCGGACGATGTTGCTCGCATACGTAAACGCCAACTTTGTCAGGGACAAAGTGACGCTCGTATATATGTTGATCCGTCCAACGTGGGGAAGAGAAGAAAGACAGAAGGAGGACGAGGGAAAACGCGACGAGGGAAGAGCGACTTTGCCGTTTCGAGATTCATTTTAACGTTTCGCCTGAATCGGGCGTTCGTGGCTCGTTTCTGTCATTCGCTTTAGGCAATATGCCCGCGGGGCGATTACGGGGCGTCCCAAATCTCCTCGATTCCTCGCTTTTGGGAAATGCGTAGCAAGAGCGCCGTGTCTGAGCATTCATATGCATGTTACAGTCATGTAACTATTATACATATATATCATGCGCACAAAGCATTTGCATGCGAATAAAGTCAGACAGATTTAAGAAAAAAAATTTTTTTTTTTATGAATATAAAGTTGATTTCTTTCCGGGGGAGAAACGTCAAACAGCATTCTATCGTTTCTCAATAAATAATAATGGAAATGATCTTAAGCAATTTTTTTTTATTCTTGTTTCACAAGCTGACTTTATTAATTTCTCAAGCGAAGAAGAAACGCGAGACTAGCAAGATTTTTTATTATCATTGATTAATAATATTATGTATATTAATGTATATTTCACGCCTGTGTGCAAGAAGACAGATGTAGATACCCGATCCATAGAATAGCTATTATTTAAAGACGTGATAGATAGATTGATCTATCTCTTGAAGTAACAAACTCCAAAATGGATTTAGCATGACAGGCAAAATTGTCTATAATGATGCATTTAACTTTTCTTTCACCGTTAATATATCTTATGCAAAGGCAACATTATTGTTGTAACGAGATAACGCTTTTCACACCGCGACAAATTAATTTCCGACAAAGATTTAGAATCCGGAAACACCCGTAGAGATCGTTTGGGGGCGAGCATCGCGTCGTAATTAATTAGCCGGTGGTGCGATCGCCGGCAAGCGGCGCTTACGTTTCGACTCGTTTATAGCGGATACGTAATTCTCGAGGCAAAAGGATATCCCAACGGCGAGAGATGGGAACAAGGAAGGAAGGAGGTTGTGCGAAGGAGGACGAGAAGGAGAACGAGGATGGGGGAAGATCACGGGATCGGGGAAGGAGGATGAGCATAATGGTGGTCACATGCCCGCGGGCCCTTCGCGGAGGAGAGAGGAATAAGAAGAAGACGAGAGGGGAGAGGGAGGGTACGCGTACGCGCTCCAGAGAGAGAGAGGAAAATAATGCGATGTTTTTGTATCATACGATATACACAGACTCTCTGGCGGACCGGTATACGCCCGGAGCATCCAGCGGGATGTAACGAGAAGAGTCCGAGTGTTGCCCGTGGGTCCACATATTTTAGGGAGAGAAGCCTTCTCTCTTTCCCCTCCCCCCTCCCACTCCACGTCCTGGTCTTCTTCGCCCCCTGGTTTGAACCTACGTGTCTCTGAAACGGGTCGTGCTGCGCCGAAGGCGAGAGTTCCGCTTCTCCACCTATCCGTCCAGCGTTCTTATTCTTCACCCACCCTCTTCTCCCCCTCGACCCGGCTTGCTTTTCGTTGTCTTTTATATATATATATATTTTTTTTTTTTCATATTGGCGATCTTTATATATGAATCATCGCGCAAATTCTACGGCCACGTATATAATATGTCTCAGAATCAGAATCGATTCTTTCAATTAAAAATTCTGTGACATCAATTTTCCTTAGTGAAAATGGAAGGAGGGAAAAATGGACAATCGTGTTTATTGATATATGTACGCACTTTTCAGTTTTAATATTAAATCTCTTGTCATACACAATAAATTTTTAAATTAAATATCTGTTATAATCGAAATAGAGTTATTTGAGAAATAAGATTTTTTTTCTATTTATCTCTCTGATATTTTTTAACTCAACGCGCGTAACTCTATAATTTCTAAAGTTGAAAAGTTTTACAATAGATACCTAATGTGTGTCATATGAATGTAAGAAAAAACTCTGCGAACCTCTAAATGATATAATTCCTCTCGCTTCTCTCGCTCGATACAATTTCTGTAAACTTGCTAACGCGCGACCTGCCAATCAGTTTGAGATTCAAAGTGGATTTCTGCCGTTTCTTCTCTTCTCTTTTGTCCTCGCAGGCCATGCATCGTTCTGCATGCGCAAAGTACACGTACACAACGGCCATAGGTTGCGTTCCAACGAGGGGGAGGTAGCCTGAGCGGTCTTTCTCTCCGATGGTTACGTGACCTCCGGTGGGTGTATGTTTAACCTTTTCGATGGCAGTCGGCAGAGAGGAGAGTTTTAGCCGGCGGCCCCCTCCCCCCCACCTCCTCCCACCTCC